TGAAATCATCCATTAGTCTGTCGGTGTATTAAAGTGCGGGGTTGGCGGTGTTAACGTTATAACTGGTGCTTTCATGCCGGGCTGACTTTAAATAAGTAGAGAGCAGAGAGCGCCCGGCACGTAGTCCGAGCTTTCGACGGCGCAGAGCCAGGACCGACGGCCTTGTCCCCGGCCTGCCTACCCCTGCCAAGGTGCTGGGTAACTCATAGGTATGTTATCTACGCCAGTCTTTACTCAAGAAGTGTTTTTGTCGTGATTCCTTCCGTCAAAAGCGCAGCATGGTGCTAGATTGAGATCAACAGGTAAAATTGGACGCATCTGAAGTCAGATCAACGGACAATGCTGCAGGGTTCGTAGAAATCACTCTATTCAGTACGTATAGGGACAAGTTGAACCACCTAGGTACACCGTTATTGTGTGGCTTCCGTGGCAGGCTTCGTGTTTGGACTTTTTTGCTTATTATGTGCTATTTTCTGATTGTTCTGATCTTACCCGGCCGGCAGGGCAACTGCCAGGCATAATCAGAACTTAAATACATGTACTTTCAGACTGAAAACAGCACATAAATGAGCAAAAAATCCCAGCTACGTAGTACAATGTATATGGGTGTTATCATACGCTCTTTTAATGTGCCTTTGTGGTTTAAAATCGGTAGAGGCAAGTCCCTTTCGAGGCTGAAAAATAGTCGGAATAGGGTGGATGCCCAACCAGCAGTGCTTCATTGGTGATTCAGAAACAATGGTCATTTCAAGTGAATTAGCCTCTACCAGAACTCTCGGCGGATGGAAGCGCATTCCTATAGACTAAGATATTCCCTTACAAATATCCCAATATTTGGTCACATTTACTATTTTGGCGTCCACCGAGGGTCTGGTAGAGACTAATTTTTGATTTAGCCTAGGTACCGTCCAGTTTTTCCTCACTCGCCCTCCAAATAAGCGCCTTCTAGCGCCCAACGCATTGTACATGTTCTACATGTTCCAAATTCTACTATTTTGGGGTCCACCGTCCGAGGGTATGGTAGAGACTAATTTATGATAGCCTAGGCACCGTGTTCGTCCAGTTTTACCTAGCTCGCCCTCAAAATTAGCGCCCTCTAGCGCCCAGCACATTGTACATGTATTTTACTCGGCTATTTCTGTGCTCCGACCCTAGGCATCACCATATTACCCTGTGCCAAAAACTTAACTAAACATCCTCTTGAATTTTGGACCAGGTACTACTGATCACCAGAATAACTAGTAATCACCAAGAAACTAGTGTTTCTAGCTTCCATTGGGTTTGGTCACGTTTTCTATTGGCCCCCGAGTGAGTTTTAATTTTTTTCTGCACCCAACCGTGCGGAAAAATAGGGCGTTGTCGACGTTACCACGACTTCAGTTCAATTATGTAATGTCATACAGATGTGCATCCAGTGCATCATTCGCATCTAACCTTGTGTAACACCCATCGCGGTGCCAACACCGTAGCCGTACACAATAACACTCTCGGTTCTAAAATGGCGAAAATGATGCAAAAGTACAATAGCGCTCCTCCTCCGCGATTCCAGTATTGAAGCATTATGAAGGTCTTTCGCTCTTTTGATACTCTCCAAGTGTCTTAATTGGAACGTGACAATACCCCCCTCCCAATAAAGCATACATTGTGAATTGAGTTATGTATTCCAATATGTCCCACGCAGGCAAATAAACGCCAAGGGCCTTATTTTACCGCCCACAAACCACGTTTTAAGTAGAGAATTCCGAAAGACGCTGTTAACAATAATGAAGTTATCCATACATTAGCAATCCTATGAAACTCAGATGAAACCAGCAGTTGTGTCTTTCTTCCCACTTCAACCGAGAGTCAAGAGAGACCTCTGTGGCTTCCGGAGTACCGCATTATTATATACATACTGATATTTATCAACTTATCTCTCGGAATGGACGTCATTCAAAATCTTTCATCACACATAAAAGGACGTCCTTTCATTTTCCTTTGAATCTCTATCTTTGACTCTTCCCCCTTCCCTTTTTTCAGCTTTCGTGTTCTTTAAAAGAGACGTCCAACTCGCCCGTGTAATAAAGCTCAACACCTTCTTTACTTTCACTCCGTCTCCTAATTTATCTTTCTATCTTCTTTAGCGCAGAATTTCACAGCAAGATCAGAGGGTACTGACATGATAGACTCTGCGCTGTGATACAAACTACATTAGGGATGAGCAGACTTTTATGTACAGGCATGATGTAAGGTTACTTCGCTCTCCTTTTGTATTTCCCTCTTTGAAAGTAGACAAAAGTAATGATACAGGGGGATAGCACCGCTATACTATCTCATTTCACTTTCTTTTCATTATAATCGACCAAAAGGTTCTCCGTCTAAACTAACCAAAGCTCAGAAGTCCCCATATTCAGTCTGCAGAATCAATCCTGTCAGTATGTATATTTGTCTTTGATGTTGAAGCTTTAAGTTGTCGGCGCGCGAGTTTGAAACCCATCGACTTCTTTCTAGTTTGTTTGATTCGCTATCGGGTTGCCGAAGCGAGGACTATATTTGCGTTTGGCAGATTCTGCGATATGTTGATGACTCCAACCGACAAATGCATTTTTCGCGCGGGGCAGAAGAGCGCCCATAACTCAAGCCCATATCTTGACACTTTGATATCTTTGATTTTTGACAGAGGCGGCGCTTTTCTCGCCCCCGGTCGGCTGGCATTCCCTATCATTTCGATACCTTTTGATCACGAGCAAACGGATGGGAAAGCCTAGTCCCTGCCGGCATGCATCTGTTCAGAGCGGGAAAAGATCGTACATCAGAAAGTGCCAGCGCCGCTCGACGCGGTATGAAAGATAAGCAAAATACGACGCATATATAATTGGCTAAGCTTGTCGGTAGGTAGGGACGAGGAAAATACCTTATGTCACGTTTTATGTTTGGGTAGAAATGTGCTTGCCTGTAAGATTGCACTATTTCATATTTGAAATCGTGGTTTGCCCAGAAAGACAAAATTTCCACAGAAAAAATGTGAAAAAAAAGAAAAAGAAAAAAGAAGTTATAAAAGACTTTGAAAACAGGAAAGACTAAAGGACAACAAAACAGATAACATTGTTTTTTTAAAGATTCTGGTGGTGCAATATTCTATTACGTCGTTCCGCCGTTTATTTTGACCACCGCAATACACAAACCTTTCCGCACTTCCCTTGCGTATCAATCAATATGCCCATCCAGCCAGACGATGAAAGCGCCCGCCGCCTTTGATATGGGCTAATATCGCAAAATCAGAATGATCAGGCGACCGGGCTGGCTCCGAGACTTTTCCGGAGTGAGCGGCAGGGTCTTTAGAAAAGGCAGCGGTCTCGCGGCATCAAATTGTCTTCAAACATCTTTCTGTCTTTTGCTCCAGCGGCAGCTGACGGAAATGTTATAAAATCGGTACTTTGTGTCCAGCTTATTGAGTCCGGCCCTTTTCTGTAAATCGCCCAAGCAGCGTTTAGTGTTTGAATACAGGTGGATTTGAGGCCATCGCCGTTGATGTACCAATTTCCCCTGACTTTCTAGGCCAATCAGCTACTGGTTATGTAAAATTTTCTCGCTTGGGGATGGAGAACCAATCAGCGGCGGTCTTACAAACCCCTCCCTTTATGGCGTGTCGATCAAAGGCGAGACCCCATAGGTTTCCAAATAATTCTGCGAATGATAAGACAAACGTGCTGCGAAGTTGGCAGCCGTCGATCAATCGGACAGATTTGTTTCAAACATTTACAGTTTAAATTGCATTGTTTCAATTTGTAACTGAAGCTGGCTGGTTATAGTTCCTTCTTCCTTTTCGCTTAGGATTATATTTGTAGGAAACATGCATCACATGTTGTACCTGAAAATGTTGCAATTGCAGTATCACGTTCTTCACTAGTCATTTGCAGAATTACTCGTAGCGCTCAAAGCCATCTTCAACTTCTAACGACTCTTTGTAACTATCTTAGACGACCAATTATTCCATATCACGCTTTTATGTCACTTGTAAGTATCCTCTGAACCGCGGCAGCACAATATATATTAGCGTGGAAATTGTTGACATTGACCGCGACGTCGTTACGTGTCAGCTAGCATTGGCCTTACTGCCCATTGCTATATCGATCCCTAATATTAAACACGGCCGCGTATCCCTGACGGTTTTAAAACTGTGTATATATCGTACCAGGTGATTGGGATGTTCACACCCCCTTCTAGATTAGGCTGGGATTTTATACTGAAAAGCCTATTTACCAGTTTGTTTTACTTATGCTCACCACAATGGGGATCTGTAAAGAAAACAAACTATAGTGTGGTGAGCTTCAGGGAGTATGCTCATACAGACTTGCAGAGAATACACACCACAACAAGAAGAATCCAGGTCGTGAACTCACAAATATACTACTGCTAGCTGAATTCGAAGGACAGACATATGCATGTTATAAATTTTTTTAATGATAGAATTCAAACACTGCCAAGGTTGCCATATAGACCCCAAAAAATAATCAATAAAATTCGCTCACCGGAAAGTTCGTTTTCGTCATCTGCACACTCTCATGGGAAGAGTTAATGAACCAAAAAGAGTGATTTACACAAATCAGTTGGAATTAGCATCGCGGGCAGAAGGAAAACATTTTCAGTTATCGGAAATGTTATAAAAACATCTCAGGGAGACAATTGTCTGAAATGAATACGTTCTGCTACACTGAGTGATTGATCGTGTTATTCATATAATCAATATGAGGACACACAACATTGATTGGAATGTACGACTAAGTGTCTTGGGGGATATGTTATACTTTCTTGTACTTTTTCGACATGAAATTCTACTAATTCATTCTAAAAGTTCATTTTGTTTACAAGTTTACGTCAAAGAATATATCCTAGTACTTCTTAAAATTCAATGATATTTGGTAACCGTGCAAAAATGTTTATGGAAAAATTACTCGACTTCAAGACACACCTCTATGATTGCGGTAATGGTACAGTCCAGTCGCCCTTACGTATGTGTGAGCGGCCGGCGGTATCAGCCCGACCCGATCTTGCCTGAGGTCTCATCAGGCAGTGTGCGTGTAACTTGAGCAGCTAGGTAGTGTTGTGCCAACAGCTGCGGGGTCAGGGTTTGTCCCGCCCTCACACCCGGGTCGGGTTGTGCAAAGAGTGCCGACAATCGCTTGGCAAGAGCTCGGCTGCCCCGCCAAAGCTCCCTCAACACTCGCGCTACTGCATATTTTTCAGGACTTGGACGACCGCAACCGGCGAATTTTACCCCCGGAATTACAACCCAAGTTGCGTGGACTGTAGCTGGTGGCCTCGCGAACCTCGATGTAGCGAGCAGGCCGCGATGGGCAAGCTTCAGAGCAAGCACGGTAAGCATCGTCGGGCACATGTGGCCTCCGCTCCCGAGCCCTTCGCTCGATATGCTCGTTGAGTCATTTGCCCATTTGATTCTCCGGCCAGATGCTAACGTTTGTGTCTGTTTTTTCTCCCCTTCGCTGGTCTCCATGGACGGGACAACAGCCTGCAAGAGGCGGGAAAGTCCAGAGGGTGAGTACCGTCGTGTTGTCTTGGTTCTTTCGGTGTTGAAAATTGGCCCGATTTCAAACTCGTGCGGTTTGGTGGTTCGCTTGTAACTCGGATCTTGGAGAGGTTTTGTTTACACTGTAGCTCCCTGGCCTTTTCTGTCGAAATGTGCGAGCTTCCCCGCTTGCTCGCCTCTCCAAAGTAAACCAAAGTACCTCGCTTGCCACACAAACCTTGCCACTGTAACGCGTGCTTTTCTCGATTCATAGTACAAAACACATTGTTACCATGCGATGGAAAAAGGACTTCGATTCATGCCGACAGCATGAATAGAAATGGTGGGACTGCTTTTGAAGCTCTGGCATTCCCGTCCCAGATGAATCAAATTTTCTCCACGGGATTCCAGCTTCTATGGTCGTTTACTGCTTGTTTTTCAAGTCGTCAAGAGTTCCTAGGGAGGAAAAATAGCCACCAGATCGCCCACTGATGGCACTATTTAATGTGGTTTGCGCTTTTTGGCTCCGTAAAAAACTGGTTCCCTATAAGCTGGACTTGTTTACGCTGGTTTTGTCTGCCACCAAAATTGCTTCCAGAAGTGGGGCGCAGCTTTTTCAGGAAATTTGGTAATCACTTTGACAGCACCCCGGGCTCACATGGCGTCGCTTCTTCCCTTGCTTGTTTTTCAGGCGATTCCTTCGTGGTCAATGCCCACTTCAACACAGGACGTTACAGGGGGATTGAGGATTTCATCGCTCGACAGAAAAATGCAACAGGGTTACAGCTCGCAACTTACAAAGGCGGCCGCCAACCACCGGTAACGTATAAAGTAACCAACTTCCTATGTTGCTGTGTTTTGTTACATCCCCCAACCCGGGTATCAATGTCCCTGCTCCCCATGCCTTCTTTTCCGCATCGGGGTTTTGGATAATTCTTTGTCGTTATCCGTTTGCAAATCTCTTCCTCCCCTGGGACGGTAACAGAGCAAGTTTGTGAAAGGCACACCGCAAAATGAACAGATTTTGAAACAAACACCAATCACTTTTTTTTTCAACATAAATTTTACAAAAGAAAATGGAATAGAATCGAGCAGTAGTGGCGACAAACGGAACTGTAAATCTCCATTCACGCTGGAAAAAACACGCTGAAAAAAAAACGTACTATTTATTTCTGAGATAAACAGAAATGTGGATGACTTGCAGACAATCTAATTACTACGTGTCAAGTACACAAGTGCCGAGGCAACCATCAAAGACACTTGAAAAGACGGACTCGATTCAGAGACAGCCGTAATTAATTTGGTTCAATTCTGGGCTTTCGGTGGAATTCTGTTTCAACTCCGAGGGTAATGAAATAGAAGTGTGTCCGCCTGAAAACAATTTGGGCCGATCTAACTCGTGACACATGCTGGAAACCGGTCCATGGCATGCCGTAATGTGTTAAATCTTGCCGTCTTTGCTTTGACTTCGCATCGCTGCAAGAGTCATTTCATTCTGCCGAAGTAAACGACTTCCAGAGAAATGAATTACTTTCTCCTCTCCCGCCCGCATTTTACCAGCATCGTAATGGTAGCAATTTTTCCCGTCCCGTCGTTAAAAAAAATCGGTCTAGCTTGTAGATTACGTGGTTTCTTGTGGTCTAGTAGGCTGCCATCCGGTGATTGTGGTCCCATTTTCTCAGCGATCGGATAATGACAAGTTGTAGAACCGAACGCGGTCTGATGACAGAGTAGTGACTGGGGAAGTGCTACCGACGCGGCGAGAACTTCCTTTGCTTTTCTCCACCTCGTGGTGTCGCGAGTGGCATTTCTATGGCTTCCTTCCTTTTCCCACTCATTTCACAAATATTGTAGCCCATCTGGCGGATCATTGTCGACCATTTTAGAAAATTATTGATCAAATCTAGTGTCCGAAACCGCCTGGCTCTTTGAAACACAGCGGGTTCCCTGGGAGAGAAGGCTGCGCCGCGGTGGGGGGTTCGAGCCCCGGCTGGTATTTGCGTGCAAAAGCGCGGGCTGGGACTGGAGTGGAGCCGTTTGAAGTTTTTTGTCGGCCGTCTGTGCAGGAAGCTTAGGTTCCCGAAAGACCAGCAAATTCCTTCTGTATGCCACGGCTTCAGGCCAACTGGTTTACTTCCCGAGGCTTGTCACCCATTTCGCAATTCTCTTGTCAAGTTTTCTGTGTGCTTTTTGAACTATTTTCACCCTGTAGGATGCTCAATTACAACAAAGTTGATTTGCATACATTTCATGACAACACCCCGGGGCCCCAGTAATTTAGTTCCACTGTGCTTATTTTGGCTTATGGGCAGTTTTGACCATCATTGTTTTCTTGTTTGTTTTATTTTATACAATTTGAACAGGATTGGGTTTCAAGGGTGCAGCCTTCAGTACTTGTGCTACTTTTCAGACAGGACGTTTAACAGTTTGTGTGTGCATGATAGTAGTCTTACTTTTGTTGGGTCTTTCTTTGCTGGCTATCCCACGGACGTCGGCCCAGCTTGCATGTGGTATTCTCAAGTAAAATCTAATTTATCTGTGGCACTGTAATATGGATGTTTGTTACAGCAGTACCGCAGTCAGCCATTCCACATCTCCAGCACCACATTTTTATGGTTTTCGGGGTCAGAGAGCATAGTTTTTTAAAGATTCTTTTGTGTATACACATTCCTGTGGGACTAACATTGCAAAATATAAACCTAGAAAGTTTATTTTTCGGGGCTCAGTATCTGCTTTCATACAATGGGTCATTTGGGCCATTTGTGGTTGGAGCTGTACAATAAACCTGAACCATTGTGGCCATTCACCTGGCTGCTTTTCTCACCTATTTACCTTGCTGGTCATTGTGTAGGGGTCATTTACCACTTCCTTTACAGGTACCTGGTGCCACACACAGCGCCAGGAGTAAGGCACATCTGATAAGAAACATTTAGGGGGGGAGGTGGGCACACCACCCCCTCTACTCATGTTGACAGGACTGAAAAATTAGGACTACCCTGGTTTCCTATTGTGGCTTTTTTTCTTCAAAGTGCCACTGGTGAATGGACCAGAGTGTGCTTCTGCCCCCAACTCTATTCAGTGGAGAGGGAAGTTTTGGGGGCCTGCGTCGGGGAGGTGCTTTGATGTTGTTATTGTGTAAAGACAGGCGTGGAGTTTTGTATTCTGCCGCAGTTTACCCATTTGTACATGAATGCTAGCAGAGGGGCCTGAAAAAGCAGGTCTTTTATTCCGAAGTCGGGCATGCCATACGAGGCACACACATAGCTCCTTTCATCTCTGCCCATGAATTTGACATTGGCAACCTTTCACCCCTTCCTTGGAGGGCTGAACTCTGTTTTGGGCATGCCTCCCCTGGCATGAATGGGGGATAATTATGTTTTCTGTTCAGAATAATCCGGAGTGAGTGCTGGTAGTTGGGTTCTTATAACTGTATAAGTGGGTGTGGCACATCCAAAAACCTTGTGGTCCCCAGGCGCAATAATGGCAGATGTCATAATTGGCATGTTATTAGCTAATGAGCTGTCTTTCTTTGGCAAGATCAACCGCCTTTTTTTGTGTCCGTCAGACAGATTGTGGTTTTGAAGTATGCAACTGTTACGTAATGGTGCCGTGTTCCATTTGATCATTAAAATTTTTTGATGTTCAAAGTTTATTACTTGCTATTGAAAAAATTCTTTTTATCTTCTTAGACTTCTGTACAGAGTGTAAAATGTGTAGTGTTTGTGTGGATTTTATCTTCAAGTAATGCAAACAAAATATTGTGCTTGTGCCAAGCCCAAACATACTTTGAACTGTAGACTTTGATTTGAATAGGCCACAGTTTGAACAGTACATATTAAAAGATATTATCATGGACTTCCAATAAACTAGAAAAGGCCCTTGCAGAGACTTATTATTTATTGGTACAAAGCTGCATGTTCTTCCATCTTGTAAATCTTGTGATTTGTAAGGGGATGTCATGACAGCAAAATGATACACAGCCCTATGAGATAAGTGATGTGGACTTGAGGGGCAGTCACCCTTATCATACCTATGTTTGAGGTAAAGCTATCGTGACATGAGACTAACCATTGTGGTATGTGTATAATAAAGCAAGTATAGTAGTTGACAAATTTCATGTGACAAATGTCTGTGATATTTGATTTTAGTCACTTCTAGGGGTAAGTGACACCAACTGAATGTTTGTAGGGGTCCGTTCAGTATCAAGTGGTCAAATGAGATGGAAGGGGATTAGAATCGGAAGTGTGTCTACCCTACTGGTTGACTTGGGTCAGGTTTGGCGGAAATTACGCAGGTACAAGGCAGATTGGCTTGCGTTCATTAGCAAAAAGAATCTGGTTAATGTTGGCGTTTCAAGCCTGTGGTACCCTGGAAAGAAAGGTCAGCATGCCTTTCATTAGAGATAAAAATAACTTACAAAAGTTAGCATAAAAAGTTGTCATGATTTGCATAACAGGGCTGTGCAAGACAAAGGTCTCTCATATACAGACAGGGAAATATCTAATCCCCTTTGTGAGTACCTACCCAACCCAACCAGTAGTCTTTTCCTGCCTTGACCTTGAGCAAGTGTCAGCACACAAGTTGACATGAAACAGCCCCGACAAGCCCGTCAGTGTTGGTGCTGATACAGGTGACGTTTTTTTGTAAGAATTTTTGTATTGCGGTTATCTCGATGACCATCACATTCGGAGATTGTTTGCCATCTATTGTTAGGAATGTGACAATGAGTACACAACTCTGCTGGTGGGCATCTCTTATTGCCTGTATGTGAAGTTCAGTAACAAGCTCGTGTGTTATCCTTGGGGTATCAAGGGACTGATACTGCATATCTGGATCAGGGCTGCGGTTACTTTCTGGAAGTACTTCCTGTGACAAGAACAAGAAATGCTCCCAGAGCGTACCACAGGTTACAACGAAAATCCTAGAAAAAGAGTACAGGAAACATTGTTCAGGTTATGAAAAGTTCCAGACAATGAACTTTGTTGGAGTTCTTTTGTTTGCACAGAAAGATAAGTTTTGCTTGTTTGGTCAGTGGTTTACAGTCCGAAGCTTCTATAATTTGTAGGTAACCTACTCTTTGCGAATTAAGAAGGGGCTAGATGAAAACAATCACCTTCTTGTTGTTATGGTGTAATTACTACCTGAAGAAAGTTGCAGGCCTAGTTTCTTGGCAGGTCCAGGTCACAGAGGTCACTGCCTCAGGTGTCAGCCTCACACAAATGATATCACCAAAGTGAGCCACCAGTCAAATTCTGTCAAATATATATTTTCTTCTCCACCCACTCCTGTTTTTAATAAACCCTGTCTTGATTACTGCTTTTAAAGAAAGCAAAGACTGTCCAAGAACTGGGAATAATACCACTGAACAGTAATACTGAACAGGATGTCATAACATTGGCAAGATACTCCTGTTTCAAATGGGAAGAATATGGTAGTTCCAAGGAGGGGAAAGTTGTGTGGATGGTAGGACAGGCGTCAGTGGTGTGTGGTACAGGGTTGTACAGTCTGCATCTATATAAATCATGACTAATAGGCTGAGTGACTGAAACTGATACCCTTGGTCATGATATCACCCTCATTTGGCAGGGTTGAGGGGTAGGGATAGGGTGGGAGGGGGGCATGGATTAGGGGAGATGGTGACTTGGTGGAAATCCCACGACTTGCCAAAACAGTGTTACTCTTTTAGCTAGAGTTTCAGCTTGTTTCCTGCTGTAGCCAGACAAGATAACTCCAAGTGGCCAAGCAGCAACTGACAACAGTATGTGCACATGTATGCCTTTGAAACTGATACCACTTAAATAGATAGAGGGCATGGACCTGGTTTTTGGTCC